ATGGTAGCATTTGCAGGAAATATTTTTCAACTTTCTATGAAATGCCAACGCACCGTGTTCTGTTAATATAGATGTCGGTGGTACTGCACTGTTCAAGACAAATTATGTTTGTATTGCCTATTTACCATCCTTCAAACACTTAAATCACAAATTATCCATTGCATACAAAATATCAACAATTAACACTTATAAATAAATATTTCATGTTATAAATTATCATCCATAATATGTATTATATGAAAAAAAAAATACTTTACACATTGCTTCATTCTGATAGTTAGTCAGAATTATCTTCTTCTTCATCGTCAATTAAATAGTCATCACCTTCATTGCAATCTTCAATATGGATGTCATCATCTTCATCAATATTTGTTTGTCTGCTAGAGCTCAAAACAACATTTAACTCCTTTACGTCAACATCAACAAGACTATCATCGAAAACATGAAAAATTGAATTTTCTTCTAAGTCAATTGAAGGAGCAACTCAATATGGTTCAACCAACTCACTAACTTGAAAGGCTTTATCTCGCATACTTGTGTCTTTGTTCTTATCCTGAACAACTTCAACAGGACCCCTAAGTTTTGTTTTTAAAACAGATTACCAATCAACTCTTGATCAATCCTTTCTAAATAAAGGGGTGTATGTGTAATAAACATGTTGACATTTCCTTGCAAAAACAAAGACATCGTTTACGTTGTGGAGTCTAGATTTTGAGTTAATTTTGACTGGACCATAGTGAGGATCCACTCTAATTTCTTTATCAGTCGTGTCATACCAATAGTATTTGAATGAAAACACTCTATTCTACTCGCTATAATATTACAGTTCGATGACCTCTTCTAATCTACTATAGTAGTCAACTTTTAACTCCTTACTAGTCGATGCCTTAACACAAACACCGTTGTTGTATGTCTTTTTTCTATACTCGTATTTTTTGGTATGGAATGCATATCCATTGATAAAATACCTATTATAACACTTAACTTTTCTTTTAGGGCTCATGCTTAATGAAGACAATGACTTAGCAACACTTTTTCTCATTTGATAAACCTTGTATGTAATGTACAACAATAAACAGTAAACGAGAATTTCATAATGACATATAGTAACTTTGCAAGAGATAATGAGTTTATAATAGTACTTATATGTATTTTAAACCATTTGAAAAATTATTCATTTTGTAATTAAAAGATTTAGGATTCGATCAACTATGAGTTATTCGATAGCAAATATTATCGATGCTGCCTACAAGGTTATTCCAGATTATATGAGTTTATGATATTATAATATATAAATAATATATTATTAACATAGTGTAATTATTAGTACATATATATACTTAATGAATAAAAGGTCTCAGCTCATCATAGTTAAATAGAACACAACTGTGTAATGGAATGAACTCTATTTCTAACAAATATCTTCCCCTTATAGCATTTTTAGGTATAGGTCATTTAGGATTGAAGAATATTGACAAGTTCTCACTAGAAGATACTTCACCGCCATCATCATGTCATGGAATGTGATTAATTCTTGTTCTCAAATGAGGTCCAAAATAGTATGAGATAAATGTTGATATCTCCTCAATAATATAAGTCTCACATATCGAAGACTCTATATGCGCCTTGTTTTTAATCTTTTTCTTGAGATTGAACAAGTACCTGCAATGAATTAATCAAATATTTTCAATTAAAAAAAACAAAGAAAATACTTTTATATATGAATTACATTACATCTGTAATATCTAACCGTTCAAATGGGTACACCCATCTATAGTGGACTGGTCCTCCAACTTTTATATTGAATGGTAGATGTATGAGGAGATGCTCCATTAAGTCAAAAAATGATGGAGAGAATATCATCTCAAGTTTGCAAAGTGTCTCGATGATATTTGTTTTAAGCCTCTCAATATGATCAACATTCAACTTGTTAAAGCATATTTCTCTAAAGAAATTACTGAACTTTATAAGTTAATGGAATGAGTATTTGCATAAACACATGGCAATCATAACTCTTCATTCCATACAATTCATATTTCTCTATATTAACCAACTTTGATATGTTTGAGGTATGTTCATCAGGGAAACGTAGATTCTTAAGTCATTTGTAGACTAGTAGTTGTATATTTTTCTCTAAAATGAAACTTGCTCTTGGTTTTGTGATCCATAACCCATCACAAACCAACTCTATATTTCATATTTCTCTATATTAACCAACTTTGATATGTTTGAGGTATGTTCATCAGGGAAACGTAGACTCTTAAGTCATTTGTAGACTAGTAGTTGTATATTTTTCTCTAACACGAAACTTGCTCTTGGTTTTGTGACCCATAACCCATCACAAACCAACTCTATATTTTAACGGTTATAGAACAAAACTATATCCAATTTAGCCTTGATGTATTCCTTTATCTTTCCCTTCATATTTATAACAGCATTGGAAATATTCTCAAACATGTTCTTTTCTATATGCATGATGTCAATATTATGGCAGAGAAGATTGGTCTTCCAATAAGAAAGTTTCCAAAAGATACTTCATTTTACCTAATTGTTGGTCAAACCAAAACTAGGAATCTTCTCCTTACTTGATGGATGACCAAACATAGTGTCATCATACTTTGATCTAACATAATACAATTCTTCACTAGAAAGACGCAGGGGTGCAACATCCTTTTCAACTCTGCCAATAAAGAAATCCTTTCTATTCTTTTTGTGCCTATGATTCGTTGGCAAGAAATGATAGTGACAGTAAAAAAAAAAAAAGCTTTACCGCTATTTGTTAACGTGAATGCCTTGTGGTTTTCCATATAGTATGGACAAGCTAGTTTTCCAAACGTGCTCTAACAAGAAACTATTCCATAAGCTAAAAAATCATTGATAATTCACATCAAAGCCGAGCATAACAAAATTCTATTTCCTCGATATATAATAATTTAAAGCTTCGGAGGACCACAATTATGTCAACTCATCAATCAACACTCAAAAACAAACATCTATATTCCAACTCGAACTGCTCGGACCGAGTATGATAGTTGATAAAAACATGAACTCTGGCCTCATACACATTCTTGGTGGTAAGTTATAAATGTGAGTATGACCGGCCAACAAGAATAAGAAGTGGCAAATGACCTGAAATGGTTAAATCTATCTGTACACAACCCAAGATACACATTTCTTAATTTAGTTGAAAAGTGAGTATGCATACTATTAAAGTATTTCCATGCTTTGCCATTAGAAGGAAGCATCATCACTCCATCAACTATATCATGTGATTGATGCTATGTCATGTGGTCGACAGTTCTTGGTGACATGAATAACCTCTGCAGTCTAGGTGTAATTGGAGAGTATCTAATTTTTTTATATGCCACTAGAGTCTTTTCTCTGCCAGTTCTGGGTTTGTAACGGGAATGCCCACATGTCATGCACTTGGTCAGCTTAGTATTTTTAAAGTAGTATAACATGCAGAAGCTAGGGCAAATGTTAATTTTCTGGTATCCTAAACTTAAGGACTTCATTATGGACTTCACATAAGTTCTCTTTCAATCTATTCTCTTCAGGTAAAATATGTCTCTCTCATTTAATAATTTTTTTATACCCGGCCTCACTTAGCCTGTGATCTGACTTGATGCTGAACACCTATGCTACAACCGATAATTTATTATGGTTTATGCAGCCATCCTATAATAGTTTATCAGAATCTTTCAATAAATCAAAAACCTAGTTGCATCTGCATTAGGCTCTTCTTCTACGATTGGACATTGACCATATTATCTTGATTTATTCTCATTGCATCTATAACCATATTCCTATAAGGATTACTATTGTCATTTACAACTCCATGCACATTGCTAGCACTAAAAATTAACATAATCACCCTTTCTCCCATGCTCTTATTATGAATAAATACTTTTCCGTGTGCATGTTGACATCGATAATTCTTAATAAATCCTTTGTGTAGAAGATGCATTATTGCAATATTTGGATGCATATACTTTTTATTTTGATACTTTCTAGATAGACACCTAATACCGCCTCCAGTAAAATTACATAGACACCTAATACCGCCTCCAGTAAAATTTCTGGAAATAGATGTTGCGAAATCAATAAAACCCTTAACCCCGTTGCAATAATCTATCCTCTACAATCCTCAGGGTGAATCTCAATACATCAATGAACGATCATCCATGACTTCTATCGAACTTGTATAACATTATGATGACAACATGTATTAATTAACTATGTTAGGTAAATAAATTTATAAAAATATTGGTTTACCTCGAGATTATCCAACAAACTAATTATAACTTCTCATAAATATTAAATATTCATTATCAATTATCAATGTTCGTAGAAATTTATATGTATAAATTTACAGAAATTACAACTCCGCAATAACAGTGATAAAAATTAAAACAGACTCGTTAAACAAGCTATTAATCATTTCACCACAACACATGTAATTCGGTAATTCAACAAAGTTTCAATAATTTACAAACAAATATAAATTTATAAAATCTAAAACAAACCATAATAAGTATAAAATTATACATTTATATACCACAAGTTTGTTTAAGAAATAACAAGAAAACATGTACATATACTAACAAAATACATATACTAAAAAAAATTAACATTTAAATGTTAAAATTATAAAAGAGAGATTTACTTATAAAAAATGATAAAAATCTACAATAAATCAGAACACGGATGTTGTGACTACAAAAATCAAAGAAATATGACTTGTGCTAAGAAGAGGGAGATTTTTTTAGGGGGCTGGTTGTTTACAGTTTGGGAGGGGAAAGTTGGGATGGGGAAGAATGATTAGTACTTAAAAGTGTATTTTTATCAAGGTTTTTATATTATCATTTTGCATTTGAAGTATCAATAACTCCTTAACTAAAGCATGTTTTATGTCTAATACCATAAGATATCTTTAATTTATGGTAAATGTTCATCTTAAATATAGGCCTATCACATAAATGAAAAGATTGATTGATGAGTTTAAGTACTGAAATTGAAAGGACAAAGAGAGGGCCAAACTTTTAAAAGAAATGTTGGTTCAACCCAAACTAGAACACTATTCGGTGATTGGATCCTAACTAGAGCAATAAAACTTGGATTTAGGTCTGTTTTATATGGATGGAAAGCTAAGAAATAGGCCTAAAACTTCATGGAAAGGCAAGACTCAATTCTACTATTTGGGAGTCCAAATCTTAGCAACAACGGAAAAGTCCGAATCTATCTTGCAGCCCAGACACTATTCAGTGTTTAGCCCATATCTCGAGTTTTAGAAGTCCAATTGACCTCAATTTTTTTTCCTAGAAAGCTGAGATAATTTTCTAGAACTTTCATAATTTAATCTATTCAAATTCTGATGTTATCAATGATGTTTTGTTTAGACAAGAAGATAAGGATTGTCACCAAGTCAAGAGTTGGTCACCCGCTCAATAATTAGTCAACAAATCAATAGTTCTTAATTTTAGCCTATAAAAAGAGGCATTTGTCATGCATTTAGGCATCTTAGTTTTCAAATCAAGATCAAACTCTTGCTTCCTCCTTTTATATTTTGTAATGCTTGAGTTTTGTTTATAATAATCTCTCGTTTATGCCTTTTATTTTCTTTCTTTTACTTAGTTAACTTATATCTTATTTATATTCTTATCTTGTTTATTTATATTTATCTCTTTCATTA